TATATATATATATATATATATATATATATATATATATATATATATATATATATATATATATATATATATATATATATATATATATATATATATATATATATATATATATATATATATATATATATATCAAAATTCATCTCATATTATAAGCCCACTAATGCCCACTAATATAATTAGCTATGTATAAAAATTTAGAACACAGCTATAGTTATTGCATTTTTTTGCGATACCCTGCGTATCATCGATTAGGAGAGTACTTGCATGCCTGCAGGCTGTATGATTCGACACTGTGATAAAATTATCCATGCAGAGTTGTCGATCTTTAATTCTGTGTAGATCAATTGACGAGAGCGCTGCACCAGTTAGTGCACCAGAATCTCAGGGCCGCATGAAATCCATACTATGAGATTTGCAATTGAACCACTAAATCCATAGTATATCCATACTATTTCGATACTATATCCATAGTATGGGAATGTACATGCAATTATTATGGATAATCAAAAATCCATTCTATTTTCAATAAAGGTCCATACTGCAATTTCAATTCTATATGACCTTCTATGAATTTTCAAAAATTTTTCCAGTGCCTGTCAGAAGGCCTATAGTAGTATAGAGTTTCATTTTTCGCAGCCGCTCCCGGTTAAGTCTAAATAAATATATAACATTTACACTCGAAATTTCCGCTACAAGAATCCTTTAGTTCGTTCGAGTGAGATGCCAAAAACCCAGATATTTATACCCATGCATGTACTTTAATATACACTTACCCTGTCGGAGAATATTGCATCTCGCACGCCAATCCCGACGACAGGAACTTGAAAAAATCCGCACGTATAAGAAATGCCTATAACGGCATCGTTTGTCATATTATCTTGGTTCACAAACACGACATAAACGCGTTCGTTTAAGAGGTTCTCACAAGCGTCCAGTGCTGCTCGAATCGGATTACTACTATCCATAGGAAATGTAACAGCTTCGAACCGTAGCGATACGTTTGAGGAAGTCAGATTTTTGTTGATAATCCGTAGGCGGTCTTTAAGTAAAACCGTTACATTTTCCGACGAAAACATTGCGCCAAGGCGTATGATTTTATTTCGCTTCAATGCAGCTGAAAAACAGCAGACACTTGTCCATAAAAGCAGAATTAACAACCAATTTTTCGGCCTGCTATTTTCTTTTTGAAAAATACCCATTTCGGACGATATTGTTGCCGTTTTATTTTATAATTGCTGTTATGTTTGTATTATTTTGGCAGCGAAAGGGTTTCGTACATCTCTATGCGTATATTGAGCATTTTTTTGCAATTAAAGTGGAGATTATCATCAATTATTAATAGCATGTATGCTTTATTTTTACTTCTGTAATTGCAAAAACGTTTTTAAAACATGACGATTGTAGGGTTACAAATATTTGTGGCAATTTTAGGATATACTACTATGATGGAAGAAAAATCCACGCCGTCATATAACAATAAATCGAACTATATAGTACTTCAAGGTAGATATTATATACAATGTTGATGTAATTATTATATTCCTAATACGCACCTGTTCGGCTGTTGAAATTTGCATAGAATTTTCGTGCATGTAGGCCCTAGAGCAATGTTTATAGGCTCTCTGTTCACACCGGGAAAATATATATA